TGACTGAGCTCTAAGCAGAATCTCCCATACAGAATAGCCTACGGCATTTCAGTGTTACTCATTCAAGTGACATCTTCAACACTTTTCAAACTCTTCCCAAAAGCCATTTCCAAAGGCTCTTTTTTTTTTTTTTTTTTTTTTTTGTCTTTTTGAGACTGGGTCTTATTATGTAGTTCAGGCTGGCCTTCAACTCACTTTGTGGCCTAGGCTGGCCTCAAATTCACAGCAATCCCCCTGCCTCAGCCTCCTGAATGCTGGGATTGCAGGCATGCAGCACCACACCTGGCTGCCCAACAACTCATTAACCACAACAACTCCACTTCTTGTACCAAATTCTGTCTCAGTTACTTTCCTCTCTTTGCTGAGATGAAATACCTGACACTGAAAATTAAGAAAGGAAATGTTTACTTATCTCACAACTTTTGGAGGTTTTAATTCGTAATCAGCTGGCTCCAAGGTAGGGTGACGTGGCAGACAGGCAACAATTCATGGCAGCAAAAGCAATAGGAGAAAAGTGGGAGAAATGCAAGAGAAGATTTCTTCTGCCCCTTATATTGTATGTAGGCCACACCTACCCTAGGTCAGATGCAACACTCACACCCACAATCCCAGCACTAGACAATGGATCAGTCACGTTCTCTAGCTTTAGCCACCTCTGAAAAGCATGTGCCCCTGACTGCATGAGGCTTTAGGGGGCATCCAGACACAAACCATGGAGTTACAACTTCTAAATGGCATTCGCAGATAGGTGCTCATTATGGTTTGGGTCTGACATGCGGGGCTTATTCAGAAGTGGGGCAGTGCCCTTGTCCCTGCCCTGCCTTATTCCCTGTGTGCTTCCTGTCCCCCAGGAAGTAAGCAGTTTTCCTCTGCCACACCCCCTTTTTTTAACTTCAGTTTTATTGTATTGCACTAAAGGAACAGCAGGATGGTTATACACTTTTCTCTCTCATTCGTTTTTGAAAATCTAAAAGTACTTGCAAATTCTTAAGAATACCATTACCACCAGATTAGAACAGTAAGCATAATATAACCAATCCCTAATATGTAAGTCTTACAAATAAAAACATTTAAAATAGCTTTAGATGCATTCTTTGCAAGTAAGTCAGCTTATATTTTTATATAATGTTCATTTATGCTTAAGAATTAAAGCAAGTATATTACTTTGATGGAAACAAAGGAAATTTCTCATACAGGGATAATATTCAGGTTGAAGGAGGAAAAATCCCACTCTGCTTGTTTTCATAAATGTATCCAGATATAATCATCTACATGATAAAGGAGGAAACCCAGCAAGTTTCCTACAAGTCAGATACACATTATCACTTCATCAGAAGCACCTGATTATCTAGAGCTAATTTATTTATAAAATGGCATTTTAATAACCCAAAGTGAGCCCTCCCTATGAGTTCCTCTAAACCAAAACTTCCATGGACTGAAGATGTCAGTTATTAATGTGCTCGTTCATAGCATTATGGCTGTTCATTAAGGAGTGCAGGTTCCATCTGTTAACACCAGAGGTAATCATTTTATATTCATTTATATGTAATTCCACTTCAATTCTTGATCCAAGTATAACATACAAAAACAGCTCTTCCCACAAGCAAAAAATGTGGAAATATCTGTTGTAACCTATATTTAAAAAACCCCTCATAAGTCTTCCCGGAGGCAAGAGAAAGATCGAAGGTAACTCTAAGAGCAGAACAGGATGTTTGCCTAATCTAAACTTGCTTGTTAGCCCACCTGAACCTTGTTCTTCCCAAGAAATGTAACCGCCATGTTCCTGTTCTATAGTGCCCCGCAAAGCCATCCCACCCACCCCCACCCCCACCCCCACCCCCGCATTGTGAGACCAGCAGCTGTTTGCGGTTTCACAGGATAAAAACCCTGCCCTTTAGCTGTTAGGCGTGCAGTCTTCCATATTGGCTACTGGAGGCTGCGTCGCCAGGCCTGTGCTTTAATAAATAATTTTTTCCTTTCCAAATTATTTTTTCTGGATCCTTCATACCTCAGGAAGTGGGGGACCACCACAGTATCTAAAAAATAAGGAGTCATTTTTAAAAGTAACTGATCAGATTCCATAGACTACTCTCGGAAACAGGCTCTTGCTCAATAGAATCCCTTCACATGCTGGCTTCACTGCATGCACTTAACCAGACCGACTCTTCGGGGTGCTGTTCTAAGAGCTCACAAGACACAGATCATGACAGTAGTAAAAAAAAAACTGCTAGTAGGTAAAAAACTAGTTTGCACCATCCTTCTTTCTGACAGTACGCTAGGATGTCTGCATGCATGATGGTTGTGGGGTTGTAGAGACCGAGTCCGCTCATCACTGGTCTACTCACCTCTAAATATGGTGCCTAAGCGGGGCATGCTGAGACCCAGTGTGAGCCACTCTGCAGTGCAGAGGAACAGGACACAGAAGAAAGCATGGATGAGATACTCAGGGAGGACGAGAGGACGCAGGGTATTACCCTGGTCTACAGGATTCTTGTCATCAGTCTTCGGTTCATCAAATACTGTAATGTGCCAGGTGACAAAGACGAGCGTGGCGGTGAGCAGGAGAGCCAGCATGTAGAGAAGGGCACGAATGTGAAGGCCACGGCTGGGGCGGAGCAGCTGGAGGCAGCGTGGGTGCCAGTGGAGACAGGTGACGCGGGGCTGCTGGGTGAAACCGTTCACTTCCCTTGGCCGCCTGCACCTCTGCCACTGCGGTGTCCACCCTGCACCTGTGGCACATCTTATACTTCACAGGTCCAGAGCCAGTGCAGCCAGTGCACTGTGAGTGGAAACCTCTGAAGTCGTGAGCCGAAATTAATCTTTCTTCCTTTAAATCGGTTCTCTCGGGTGTTTTGTCATAGTGACGGAAAGCTAACATAGTACTAATGTCTCAGGACGAGACAACTCAGGGAAGAAACTGGTGGACATGAAGAACAGTCAGAGAAATTCAGTACAGATAAAGGAGTTGGGAAAAAAAATGTTTTGGTTAAGGAAAGCTTTATCTTAATACCAAAACACTGAAGTGTAAATAGTCATGCTCTAGAATTGGTGACTATACCACTCAAAATACAAATTGTCCGTGTAGTCACTGCCCATAGGAGAGGTAGGGCTGGTGTCCTAAACAGCTTGCACAGCTGTAACAAAGCATGAGAAACAGAGTGCGTAAGCGCCAGACACTTCTTTCCCCGATGTGTGGTAGACCAGAAGGTACCCTGTGCGGTGAGGACCGCCTCCCCGGCTCGCAGATGCCATCTTCTCACTGTGCCTCCACGTGGCCTTTCTGCTGTGTAGGCACGTGCAGAGCTCCCCCCGACTTCCTCTTCTTAGGAAAGCACTGGTCCCAGGTTGAGGGGACCATCTTGGTGACCTAATTGCCACTCAAGGGCTCCATCTCCAAATTCCCGCATGTTAGGAAGGCAGAGCTGCAGCATGGGACACACAGCCCGCGAGGCTGGGAACAGTAAGTTTCGGGGTTCACTAAACTGTGAGGTACCTGCAGAAGCAGTTCCAGCACAGTTGCTTTGAGTGGCTAAAAAGGACACAGATAAAACAAATGCCTAGTTATTGTGCAGGAGAAGAAAATGTAATTCTCCTCCTGCCTTCTGATGTTTAGCTTGGCCCTTCAAATCCACCGATGGGAGATTAACAAGAGCCCAAGGCTTGTGTCCTATGCAGATGGGTCCCAAGGGAGGCGGGAGCTGGCCCTGGGATGCTGAGAGCTGAAGTTTAGGGAAAAGGAAAGGGGGAGAAAGCTTCTGGGGGAGAACAATCAGTTTCTCTAAGACACGAGGTGGAATGAAGAAAAAGACCACCCATTTTGTGGAAGGTGGAGATGCTGGAAACAGGGAAGACCAGATCAACAGGCTTATTAGAAGGATGAATTAAGGTATCTACCATGATGTTTTTATGATTTGGTCAGTTAATAAAAAATCTGCTTAAAAAAAAAAAAAAAGAAAGACAGATATGTTTCTGAAAGAGGAGCCTGGAAACAAGAAAAGGTGATAATAGGGGCTGGGGGTTTAGCTCAGCGGCATAAGCACCTGCCTTGCAAGCAGGCGGTCGTGAGTTCGATCCCCGGTACTGATAAAAAGGAAAAAAACCAAAAAAAAAAAAAAAAAAAAGAAAGGAAAGGTGATAATAGTCTCTGCCTATTCAGTGCCTTGGGTTTAGAGCTGTTTTTTTCCCCTCTCTGTTTGGGGTAGTGGGTCTTCCCTAGAGGACTCCATGGCACCCTGCTTCTACGTGTCCTGGTGGTCAGATAAGGGGAATTCTGAGAAGCTTTCTCTTCTGCTTTTTTATTTTCTTTCTTTGTGTCTCTCCCTCCCCTTTATTCCTTCCTCTATCTTTCTTTCTCTGGAGTCTGTTGCACACAAACACCTTCCTTTTATAATAATCTCTGAGTTGAAGTTGCATACTTCAAGGCTGGCATATCCTGTCCTCTCCAGCTGAAAGGAATGGCCTGCCCCCCCCGGCACCCCAATGACTTGCTTTGGGGTCTGACTTTAAATATATGCTTTATGCCCCCTGTGGGGGCTTAGTGTGGACAGGTACCCTTGACTCTGAATCCTCTGATGAATGACAGACAAACCAGAAAGAACAATTTGAAACGCCAAGCGTGCAGTAAGCTGTCAGGCTCGCAGGTTGGGGAGGCAGTGGCTGCAGAAACTGTCACAAGCTCTACAAAGCCAAGCTACTTTGGGGCACCTCTGGGGAGAGGGGAGGAGGGGCCACCACCTATGCCCAGTTCTTAGGCAAAGGTCCACAGGAAGCTGCTTGGCTCTGGCTGTCACCTTCAGAGCAGTCGCCCACAAGACTCTTTCTTTCTCAGAGGACCTGTCCCTGTGATGTTAAGGTGCCCGCTTGAGAGCAGGAACCGGTTTCACCAGCCCACTGGCCTCTGCCTGAGGCTGGAGCAGCCAAGCGGGTGGCCAGCTGGCCAGCTGGCGGTTTCTGACCGGAAGGGGCTGTCAGCTTCCAGCAGGTGGAAAAGAACAGCTGAAGCAGGGCACAGGCCTGGGAGTGGGCTCCGCTGGCCCTGGGGGCCCGAGCAAGGCAGGAGGCCAGGCCTCCGGCAGGCAGCCCAGTTGGCAGTGCGGAAGGCTGGCTAATGATTAATGGGAAAGTACCTGAGGCTGGGCACTCACACCTTCCCTGCCTCTGCCTTGTTGGCCCTGCCTGAGAAGGGCCACAGCCCTTGGGAGGGACTTCCTGTCACTAGTGAGGAGTGATCAGGCTCCTCGGGTGGCCAGAGGGAGTTCATCCCTGTGTGTTTGCGTGGACGGCTGGGGGCCTCTTGGGATCTGAGAACCTTCTCCGAAGCCCTACAGGGGACACTTACTGAGGTAAGGGGCTGCAGTGTGGCTCTCTCATGAGGAAAAGCTATCTGCTGGGGGCCTTCTCCTCAGCAGCCCCCACGCCCTCCCAGGCATCCGCTGGGTCTCCTGTGAAAATTCCGGGTGATAGCGCACCCTTGGTGTCCGCTTCACAGCTTCCAGAGTTAAAAATTAAATGAGGAGCTGCCTGTGGGCTTGGGAATTTCAGACATTTCCAGGGAGCGAGTGTGCCTCACAGAGAGCTGCTACATGCCTATGTAAAGCCGGCCCCTGCCGTCCCAGGAGCCACACGCTGGGGACCCATTTTGGGTCGTCACCCCTGGGCCGCCTGTGAATGCCATTTCCTGCCCTCACAAGGAGACCTGGGAGGAGCACAATAGTCCTGAGAAGGTGGGCCTGAAAGCAGGCCAGGAGGGGCTGCAGCCTTCAGGGCAGGAGAAGCCTGGGCCTGGCTGTGCTGTGCCCCAGTGGACCTGACCCCTGCAGCCAGTTCCTCTGGGCCTGGAGACCCCCAGGCCTCTGTTGCGTTCACTGGGGTCAGATTTCTTGCTGTTGACTGAAACAGGACGTTTTCAAACGCTTCTGGAAGTCACGATGTCAAACGACTCCCAAGAGTCAGAAGCGCAGTTGGCTGGGCCTGGATCCACCCTTGGTGGGTGTTCTCAGCTTCTCTGGGAGTTGTGCCTCATGAGGCCAGTGAGAAATGGGTCGGGGGCTGAGTCCTGCCTGTCTTAACACAGCTGTGAGGCTTAGGAGTTTATGTATAGTCAGCCCTCAACTAAGAGCAGGACGCTCAGAGCCTTCCACGAGGAACCAAGGCCAAAGGCATCACATCTGGGTCCCACTGCCCCCGTATTATTAATTGACCACCTCTGATGTGAGTCGTTGTTTAGTGGAAGCAACGTGTCTGACCTCAGTTATTCTGGAAACCAGCTTTATGAGGACACAGCCTCACATGTCTCTAAATACTGTCATGATCTCATGAGTCCTGTCTGCACTGACCTCCCTCTGACTGACTCCTGGACTTGCAGCCAGCTCCTACACTACCTGCTGGGGTCCTACCCACCGGACTCCAGGCTGGTTTGGACAAACAGAAGTGAGAACCACAGGAGAGAAAGTTGCTGGGAGGCGTGTTTCCTCGTTCAACGCTCTATTCTCAGTCTGCAGCCTGACCCGACGCGGGTCTCAGTGGCTGCAGCGCCTCCGCAGGGGCCTGCATCTATGCCTCCGTCTCTGCCCAGCTGGGCCCAGGCTCCACAATTAGCGCAGCTTCCAACACCTGCTTCTTCCGCCGGGAGCCCGAGCTTCGCCTGGCCCACAGAGTATCGAACCTGTGGAGGTCCCATGAAGGAGCCTTGCCTTGAGTCAATGATTTATTGAACGCTTCCTAACTCTGGATTGCAGATCGATCTCGGATCCATTCTCAGAAGAGCCGGTTCCGTCCTGGGTTGCGTGGGAGGCCATGGACCTGGCAGTGGAGTGGTGCTCAGCGCACATACCCTGGCCTTTAGAGACCCGAGGATTAGTGTAGTGCGCGTGCTGGGGGCACATCCATGCCTTCCCGCGAGCACGCCTCCAGGAACTAACGTGAGAGGTGCGGGGGGTGGGCTGCTCCTGGCCTCCGCCTTCCGCTTTCCCGCGCTCTGCAGTTTCACCCGGCTACTCGCAGGCTGGGCTCGCGGCTGTTTCCAGTGCCTCCCTTTCTACTCCAGGCATCAGCTGTGGGGTGACAGCCCTAGGGCTGTCAGAGAAGAGAGGAGGCCTGAGTCCTCCGGACCCTGGCGGCCTCACGGCAGGGTGGATGTTGGGGGCTGGCACCTGTTTCGGAAGGACAGGGCGGATTCTCACAGCAGGACTGGAATCCATGAGGACCAGGGCTGGGAAGAGAAGCATCCCAGGCCTCAGCCCTGCATGCTAGGCAGGTGGGGAGGAGCACGGCCTTTGCAGAAGGCCCACAGGTAGTCAGTGTATAAGGGACTCCCCCAAAGCACCCCAGGGAGACCCTGCTAAGCATCTGGGAAGGAAAAAGCAGAAAGAGGATGTGCAGAGGCGGAGGGTGAGCTGGAGGGCTACCAAAGAAAAAAGGGGCCTGGAAGGAAGGCCAACAAGTGTACACTGTGAAAATCCTGGGTGCACCAACACCTGACCAGGCCCAGCCCAACCTTCTGGGCACTCCTGTTCTGCCAGAGCCCTCTCTGCAGGTCTTCACTCATGCCAGCCATACTCCAACCCAGGGCCTTTGCATCTGCTCTGCCCTCTGCAGAGGAAGCTTTTCCAGTAGATTCGTGCATGGCTGTCACCTCATCCTCCCTCTCAGGGCCTTCCCCCAGCCACCTGCCTGGAGTGATGCCAGCCTACCCCCACTCCACTGTTTCCTCCTTCTTTCTTGCCTCCTTCCATTAGGCCGTCTGGTCTGTTTCTCCATTTTTCCCTATCCTCCTCCTTGGGGCAGCATGGTTTTTCAGAGATCAGAAGGAGCAGCAGAGAGCTCAGGCTCCCCTTCTTGGCCAGCAGCTCGAAGGTTGGACTGTGCTGTCCCCACCCTGTCATTCATGTCATTTTGTTCAACAATGCTCAGGCTGAATGCAGGGCCCACAGCGGGACCAGTAGGTCCAGTGGGTCCAGGGTAGGGTGCGCGTCCCCCCTCACCCCCAGGAAGAGGACCGATCTGCTCACCGCCAGGAGCTGGCTGGGCCCGGCAGCTCTGAGAGGCGCTAAGAGTGCAGGGGTGGAGGCCATTACCTGCCTGCTTTGTGTTCCAGGGTGAGCAGGATCATGCGGAGATGGAGGGCGGCAGGAACGGTGTCCTGGCCACACTGGTCGTCCTGGCTGCGCTGACAGGTAGGGCTTGGGGTCGGACAGCCTGCTCTGAGCATCCTCTGCTCCCGAGGAAGGTTACCAGGAGAGGGCACCAGGAGAACTCCTCGGAAGCCCTTTCTGTGCCTCCCCTTTGGGGGCCACCTCCTCTGTCCATCCAGTTTCCGTGGCTTCCAGGAAGGGCCCTGAGGTGCCCCTGCCCCTCAGACTGCCTTGTCTGCTTCTCTTGCTTTCTTCCCCCCTCAGTTTGCTGGGAAGGCCCTGCCTTGGCATCTGTGCCTCCTTTAAGCCTGCCTGATTATTGGGGCGACCAGGGTGGGATCCCAGGTCCTGGGGGCTGGCAGGCGAGGGCCCACAGTGTGTGACACCTCCTGTTCCTCACCACAGCTCCTTGTCATTTTGAGCACACCCTGTGGTGTCTGGGCCACCACCTGACTGTGCCGCAGGGGATGGTGTGGGTCTTGCAGCAGTCGGAGCCCAGATGCGGGGCTTTGCTTTTGTTAGGTCTCCTCTAGATTCCCGTGCAGGGGTGAGCTCAGCCCTTCTTCCTCAAGTGGCCTGCAGACTCTGGCTTCCTTACTGTGGAGACCTGAGGCCTTCACCTCGAAGAACAGTGCACACTCTGGAAGACACTCAGTCATGCAGGTCCAGCTGGGCGGCCTGCCCCTCCCTGAGAGCTCGTCTTCACTGTGGGGTCTACTTTGGGTGTCCAGCAAGGCTTTAAAAATCTGGTCACAGCAGCGCTGAAGAGTGAAACAGAACACACAGACTCTGGGGCCTAGCGCAGGAGCTGCGTGCAGTGAGGACTGCTTTACGCAATTCTGACCACAAGTGCGTGTACAGATGGTGGTAGGGTACCGGGCTCACGCTCATGTGGATTTGGGGACAAAGGAGCTGGGAAGCTCCTGTCCAGCAGCATGAGATACTCGGACCTTCATAGGCACTGAATTCGTAAGACTTTTGTTAGAGGAGAGAACAAGGCCTTGCAATGGCACAGGTTGGGAACCGAGTGCAATCAGCCACCTCAGCATACGTTTCAGGAACGTGGCCCCACACAAGCCTATATGGCCCACAGTCGCAGAAAGATCTGCAAGGGTTTGGTGGCAACACCCAGGGTTTAGCTCCTCTGAGAGCCGGGCAGGAAGTGTTGATCTGAGGCAGGAAGATTCCAGTTGGAAGCCTGGGGGTGGTTATTCCAGGAGGCAGGGTATTACAGACTAAAATGCTAGAGCCCCAAGAGAGATGAGGTCCACCCCAAAGTCCGTGATGAAGGCTGAGCCCTCAGATGTGTGGGTAAAGATTTGGCTCTGGGTAGCGGAGGGCCGTGCTTGTATGCACCCCAGGCCTGCCCAGCCTCTCCTTTCTGCCTCGCTCAGGGCCTCATGGCTTGCATAGAACCTGACCATGGATTACTCATGCAGTAAAGAGTCACTGAGCACTTGTTATGTGGCACTTAACTGAGGAATAGGACACAGGGTCCAGCAAATTCAGACACCATCTTGGTTAACACAGAGCCTAGGGTCTAATAAGGGAGCTAGGCATTGATTGAGGAGAAACATAAATAAGAAATACCATTGTGACAGTACCTCAAAGAAGAACCACTACTTTGAGAGCACAGTCACAGGGTAATTTACTCTCAAGGCAGTGACCTAGGAAAGTTTCCCTGCAGAGATGATAGTTGGACCCGGAGCTAAGAAGCAGGTGACAGTGGTGTTCTGGGATACATATGCAAAGGCCCTGGGGCCAGAAAGACTGGATGAGTCTGATACTTTTTTTAAAGAGCTAGGGGCCCTGGAACAAATTAAAGCAGCTCACTTTGCTGTCTGCCACTTTCTTTCCCTGGCTCCTTCCTGACAGTGAATCCACATCTCCAACCCTGCTTCTCCATTCTCTGCAGTGTTAAGAACAAGGTGAGCATTGAGGAGTTATAGATGTGGTCAGAGAGGAGGGGAGAGGAAAGCAGGAAGACAGCAGGTTTCAGAGTAGACCCCCAAACCAACGCTGGGGAGACACCTGACAGCTACTTCAGAGAGCTGTGGAGAGGCCATCACAGAAGAACGCTTGCATTTAGATCAATTCCTGCAGGGTCGATGGCAGTCATGGGTGCTAGCAAGTATTCAAGAGTTTGAGGCTGTTGGGATGGAGTGAGAGGAAGAAAAGAAATCCTGTCCATCTTGGGCAGCCACTGGTCATTTCCTCAGAGATGCCTGGTAGGGCAGGAGAGAGAACACGGGCCAGGCTGTGGATGTGCACCTGGGAATTGGAGAGTGCTGGCAGCACTAAGAAACTCCTTCAAGGAGCCTGGTAGACAGCACACTCTTGGTCACTCCTGGGCAGGGGACACACTGATGCTTCCCAGGGCTCTGCCACAATTTGCCTCTTTGCCCCCAAATAAAAGGGAAAGCAAAGAGACAGAGAGGTCCCAAGGGAGGTATGTGACCAATCAAAATTCTTATCTCCGATTTTCTCATGCTTGCTCTGTGTAGGGCAGAGTCACATGTGGGCACTGATAAGACACAGGCCATAAAGGAACAAGATGCCAAGACCTCACATGGCCAGAAAAGCAGCCCTGAGTCACAGGGCAGAGCTGGTGGGTGGTCACCAAGGGTTCTAGCATGGGCTCCAGGGGACAGTCAGGCCAGTCTGGTTCCTTCTGTTTACCTTAAAGCTTGAGCCAGGCTCTGGGCCTTTCCATCCAACATGGCCCCCTCTCACCTGCCCAGCTGCAGAGCAACAGCTGTGACTGCTTAGCTGCATGTGAAATCAGGGGCTTCAAGGCTGGCTTTAGAGTGAAACCAGCTCGCCGCTTCACACATGGCCAGGAAGGGAGTCTGGCTCCAGAGGGTTTTCCCGTTCTCATGGAGATGCCCAAGATGGGCTTCTCCAGGGCAGACCTGGGCCTCACCTGCCATCTTCCTGCCTCCCGTCTTGCTGGGCACTGTCCATTTGCCCTCTCCACCAGGCCCCAGTGTGGAGAATAAGAGCTTGACAGGCCTTTCTTTCCTCAGGTGTAGATCTGTATCTTTTCTCTTTTTCTTCTCCTCCTCTTCTTTTTCCTCCTCCTCTTCCTCTTTTCTTCTTTTTCTTCATTTCCTTCTCCTTCTCTTCCGCTTCTTCCTTCTCCTCCTTTTTTTTTTTTTTTTTTTTTGGTACCAGGGATTGAACTTACACACTTGGCACTTGCCAGGCAGGCGTTGTACCACCAAACTGTATCCTTGGCCCCTCTCTGTCTTTTTAAAACGTCCTCTAAGGCCACATTGACAGTGTCCGTGATTCCCTGATGGGTCACCTGGACCCTCCTTCCAGAGGTGCTTGTTTCTTCACTTGAGGATCAGAGGGGCCCTGGTGTAGGGATGGAATAAAAACCTCCCAAGTTGTAGGTATGAAAACCATGCTTTCCTTTTGTGTCACACGCTGCAACAGAACAAAGGCGAGTGCGATCGTGTTTTCTCAGACAGTGGGTCAGCTCCGTGCACCCGGCCCTTTCCCTAGCTGTGCTCTCCTGAGCTGGCGCCCGCGTTGGTCTCCTCACTCCAGTTGTGCTCGCACCAGCTCTGTTCCAGACACGTGCTTGTCCCATCTCACGTCATACTGCTTCCGGATCCTGCCGAAGCACTTCCGGTTCGCAGTGCATTCTAGGTGCACGGATGAGCTCTCGTTCTTGAGCGTTTGCATCCAGCCTTTCCGCAGGGCCCTCGTCCGTGATGTTGCTTTAGAGCCGCGTTACTCTTGATTGTCCGAAGGCGGAAGGAAAGAGGGGAGCTGCCCTTATTTGGGGATCTCTGTGCACATGGAGGGCTGCCTGGTTGCCCCGCAGAGACCAGGAACCATCCACAGGCAGTAAGAATGCCTGAACTGAGGCAGAAGGCCTGGCTGCAAGGAAACTCCGGGTTCTTCTGAAAGACATCGTGCAGTCAAGGGCATGGAGCTCTGGGCAGAAATGTCTGAGTTTGTCTCGGTTTCTGCTGTTCCGGTGACATCGCCCGTACACGGGCCGGTTCATTCTGGAGGCTCCGAGGGAGAATCCGCTCATGCCTTTCTCAGCTTCTGGGGCTTGTAGACTTGTCTATCCATTCTCCGCCTGCATCTCTACACGGTGCTCCTCTCTGCATGCTTCTGCACTGCAGGTCTCTCCTTAGAGTTGGATTTTGGGCTCATCCTATGTCCAGATTGATTGTAGTTTGAAATCCTTAACCATTTGTCTCTATGAAAAGCCATACTTTCAAGGGTCACCTTCTGAAGATCTGGTGGATATAAACTTACGGGAAACAACATCCAACCAGAACAACCCAGCTAAGTGAGGAGAGTGAAAAGGAGGGGATGGCGCTGGCTTGAGGTCCGCTGGCAGCTCTTGGGGTCCTTGGGAACTCTGGTATTAGGACCAGTAAGACATGGAGTCTGAGCCACGCCAAGGATGCCCAGGTGGTAACAGTTGGCATGGAGTGAAGAGTTGAACTGTGTAGTTGATGTCTGCATATTAACACTTACCCTCTGAAAAATCGGTTGCCTTCTAGCATCTGGATCCAGCTATCAAATCCTAGAAGGGCCCCAGAATGCAACCGTCCTGCAGGGCTCGGAGGCTCGCTTCAACTGCACTGTGTCCCCAGGCTGGAAGCTCATCATGTGGGCCCTCAAGGGCACGGTGGTCCTGAGCATCACGGACCAGGAGCCCATCATCACCAACAACCGCTTCACCACTGCCAGCTATGACGTGGACAGCAACTTCATCTCCGAGATGATCATCCACAACGTGCAGCCAAGCGACGCGGGCCTGGTGAGATGCAGCCTGCAGAACAGCGACCTGGATGGCTCCGCTTTCCTCGAAGTCCAAGGTGTGTACGCGGCAGGCTCCGGAGCACAGGGCCTGGGGTCTCTCGGGTGAAGGTCAGAGGGCTGGGAGGGGCCCTTGGGGCTCGAGCTGGACACCGCGGCGCATGTATTGGTGTTAGGCAGATGACGACTCTGAACTGACAGCTGCTTTGTTATTTATCACCTCCACTCCCCGTCTCCCTCCTTCCTTCCTTCTTCCCTTTCCCCCTCCCTCTCTCTTCCTCTCTTCCTGGGCACTCTGGCCTTCTGTTTGTAATATATTTAGAATTATTTCAAACACTGTCATTGTTTCTAACCTCCGTCACTCCCTCCCTCCCTCCCTTTCTTCTAATTTCTTTCCCTTTGTCCTTCTATCTTCCCTAACTTTTATTCCTTGTTAAAACTTTTAACGATGGTTTTCATCATTCCCCATCTAACCAGTTTCAGCGTTGAGTAGCTTTCTGGAAATTCATCCTGGAATTCTTCCAGGTCCAGCTGGAGTCACTCGTCTCTGACTTGGTGATAGGAGACAGTTACTGCTCTTCTCTAGTGTTTTATGTACTTGACTATAGTTCTTTGCATCCATTATTTACCAACTCTGAAGCATGTTTTAACCTTTTCCTCTTCCTTGCTGAAGTTTCCCCAATCCCTTTCTCTCTTTCTCTGGGTATGGTGATTGTTAGTATCCAGTGTGCCTTCACTAATATACCAAGTCTCTGCAAGAAAAGAAAAATGTCAAATATAGTCTACAGTGAATAGCATTTTGTTTCATTCTTAAAGGTAATTCTGAGGTGCTAAAGATCAAGTTATATGGTGAAAATGTAGAGAGATGCTTTTACAAGGACCTGGAATATTCCTCAAAAAATTTAATCATGTTGTGCTCTTTGAAAGTGTATTTACACGCTATTTGTAGAAGCATTATGACTACCACAGTTCTGGATTTCTTACAAGAAACCCCATTATGTCTTTGAAATTTTTCTTATATTTGTTGATTTACTTACCTTGGGGAAATTCCCAAAGATTCTGACTGTATTAATTTTACTGTCGAATCAAATTTGATAATTCTTGGTGGAAAGATATGTCTATTTCTATCTGCATTTTAAAATAACTTTTTACTGCAGAAATTCAGTTAAATTAGCAGCTCTTTTTCTTTTGTGTCTTTAATTTTGTGTGGTTTAATTCAGGATCAATGATATTTTTTAAATAAGTGATCTTATGAGGCTGCCCAGGGCGGTTGCCTCGGTTTGCATGACCACATTCGTGTGACAATGACGTGAGGTCAAAGGGAAAGAACCCGGGAAAAGAAATCAAAGACATAAACTCTGGCTGTGCTGTCACCAGTGATTTTCTGCAAGATCCCCATGACGGCTCAATTTCTTCACCTTTAAAATGGGGAAAACTTCCCGGGCCATCTCACAGGCTCAGGAGGACCAGATGGAAAAACCACTAAGGTTTGTGGCGTGAAGACTCCAAAGTCCTGTCCCATTTGGCTTATTGCACGTAAAGCTGGGGAGCCCAACTGGCCTGCGGTTAGCACTGCACATTCGGGGTCCTGCTCCCTGGACTCGTGTTCCAGCCTTCCTGCTTACACGCGGAGAGACCCTGGGCATGGTTCCCTCAGCACAGGGAAGGCCTTTAGGACTGACTGCCTGGCTCCTAACTGCTGTCATGTGCTCATTGGCTATCTATTGTGTCCCCAGTAAAGGCATTTACGTGGGATTCAAAGATGACTAGGGAAAGATGTCCCTGTTCCCAAGAACCTAAGAAGAGGAATATATACCAGGAGACAGAGGCGCAGCGCAGCTGTGAGCAGGGGCGAGGGTGGGAGAGGGGCTCAGGCTCCAAAAGGGAAGGGTGGTAACACACCTCAGACAGCTCCCTGAAGAAGGTGGCGTTTGGGAGGAGCCTTGAAGGTCTGTAGATCAAGCAGCATGGGGGAGCCAGAGAGGAGGTGGCCACAAACCAGTGAAATAGGACGCAAGGCGTGGCTCACCACAGCTGTCCTCAGGGCCCAGCTACTTCACACCACACCGCGGTGTGGTTTTCCAGCGTCTTTCCCCAAGGCCATACACAGGTCTACGGATTTGGCCTAGCACCCTTCTCGTGCATGTTTATGTGGTGCTGATCACTGTGGCTTTTGGATTTAACACATCTAGGGAAGTCAGAGTTTCTTCAGGGAGAGGGACCCACAGAGCTGGGTCAGAATCTGGTCAGTGGACCCTGGTTCTGTTGATCCGAATGCTTTGCTGCCAGAGGAACAAATGTCTTCCTTTTTTCTGATGCACAGGTCTATGAATGTTTAAAATCAGTTTTACTGGTACATTTTAGATGCACAGTTGATGGGGTTCCATGGAGTCTGCCCCCTGTTCACAAGGTGACCCCTGGGTCCTGCCAAGTTGGTCCCTGAAGACCCAGCTGTTTTTATCTTACCGAGATGATAGGTGTCTTTCTTACTTTATCCTCACAAACGCACAGAGGAACTTTCCCTGTTCCTGGGGAGGATCTCTACTACACAGCTCAGGACCAGTGATTTTCTATTTTTTTTTTTTTGGTACCGGGGATCGAACCACGCACTTGCATGGCAGGCGCTTATGCTGCTGAGCTAAACCTCCAGCCCTGACCAGTGATTTTCAAATGATTGAACAATAATAAATCGTGGGAGGGTGGGAAATCCAAAGTGCCAGGTCCAGCAATGGATTTTAATGTAAGAGAGGGTGGAACTTCCTTGATCTAGTTTCAGATTCCTCTATGCAAGTGACCTTTAAGAAACCCTTACTGGGGCTGGGGATTTAGCTCAGTGGCATAAGCACCTGCCTTGCAAGTGTGTGGTCATGAGTTCCATCTCCGGTAAGGATAAAAAAGAAAAAGACAAAAAAAAAAAAAAAGAAAGAAAGAAAGAAACCATTACTAAAAAGAAAAAAAAGATACCACTACTTGTTGAATTTTGATCTAGTGTTGAAGATTATCCACCATTTAGTTAAAAGGCTGTTAAATCCACTTCCCTGCCCCAGCTCTTACTGTGTGGAACCTGCGTTTCTTCATAGGCTTCACACGAAGCCATCTGTTATAAGAGACTGAAGGAAGGAACAGGTAGGAGAATCTAGACAGGCATCGCAGGAACTTAGTACGCTTACAAAACGCTCTCACTCTTGATTTCCCCACACTACCGTGTAATAGGTCAGTACTTTTAGGTAAACATTTTAAAATAAATATGTCACTGCAAGTTAAGATATGATAAATATTAATAGAAGCAGCCATCTAAGTGAAAGGTCTTTGGAGTCTTCAGCAATTTTAAAGTGTGTGAAAGATACTGAAACCAAAATATTTGAGAAACACTGATGCAACCCAATGCTCTCTGTTTGATGCAAAACAGAGAACTCTAAAATGCCAGTTCTTGCCCAAGGTGGTGGCAATTTGGGGGCAGCATTAGGACTGAGAACAGAGTTCCTGATTTCTTCTCCAATGTTCTTTCCATTATATGACACAGTTGATGGTATTTAGTCTGTGTTAATTTGAATATTTCAATGCCTATGTGTTTCATTAAGGTTGTGTCTTTGCTGGAGCCAAGCCTCAGGTTATTTTAGCAATATCAGCAAAAATCATAATGTGTAAATAGTGTGGATTATTACTATCCCTGGCACAGTCAAGTGGGTTCTTAGCAAAACTTTAAAAATAATTTATCCGAGTAGATTATTTTCATGCATGATTGGGTTAACTATTTCTGTGCTATATTTGAGTTTGATGTTATTCATAAATTGAAATACTTTTTTAAGACAGTGTCAAAAGGTTATATTTAAATATTTGTGACCTCAAGAATAGATAAAATAAATGCAGGAGAGGCTTCTTCCCAGGATATCCTGGGTTATGTTCTCCTTACTTTGAAAGGAGATTATTATTTCCCTTTTTGCTTTTGCTCCCAGGACAGCCCGACAATTTTTTAGCTCCACTTCAGTGACTGCAGCCTCTTCTGCACACGCATCTGCCTTTTCTCTCCCATGTAATTATTACTCCTGGTCCTGATTATTTATTTATTTGTCTCTGTAATTAGATGTTTTCTTATGAGAAACCTCACCTTCTTCCAAGGACTCAGCAGGTATAAAAAAGACATGGAAAAACCCGAGCTGAGGATTTCTGGCACAGACACACCCTTTTGGGATTGGGAAGAAAGTCTCAGGAAATGTGATTTGAAGCAAAAATTGAAGAAAGAATCTGTGCCGTGGAGGCCCTGTCATTCTGTCCTTCCTTGGACATTTCTCTCTTTTCTTCTTTAGTCATGGGCACCTTGCACATCCTCGGTGACAGCCTTGTAGTTGTTGAGAATGAGCCTTGCAATGTCACTTGTGAAGCCTCGGGCTGGGTCCCGCTCCCGGATATCACCTGGGAGGTCGGCGTCCCCGTGAGCCACTCCAGCTCCTCCTCCTTTCTGGAGCCGGGCGACCTTCCTCGGGCAGTGAATGTGCTGGCTCTCACGCCGCAGGGCAACGGGACACTGACCTGCGTGGCCGAGCTGAGGACCCTGCAGGCCAGCAGGTCCGTCACTGTGGACCTCACTGTGGTCCAGCCACCACCAGGTGAGTAAAGACTTCCTGCTTTTTACCACACCAATTAGTACTTCAGGCTTGTTTTGATTGATTGATTGATTGATTGATTGTTGTTGTTGTTAACTGATCGGTTTGCTGCTGGAGAGAGAAACCAGGGCCTTGTGCATGCTAGCCAAATCTTCTGGCCTTTCAGGCTTCTGCTTTCTGTGTCGTGATACTCTATCAGCAATGCCCCAGAAAATCAAACGAGGACTTGGATTTCAGCTGGGGACAATCATGGAGGCCAATAACATGGTGTTGCCTTGGGGTCCTGTGATCCCACCTGCTTTGACAATTCCATCTGAAAGTTTTCTTCTTTTTCTTAAGTACATACAAAAACCACTTAGAAGCCTTGGCAGTGGTTTTTCATTAAGAGCAAGTTCGGAGCAAAGACTCAAAGACAGCTTTCTCTCCAGCTTTTGCTACTGCTGCTCCAGACAGACCCGACCCCAGCAAACTTCCTAACTCCTGGGGAGGGTTCTCAGGTCCTCTGAGGCTTCTTACAGATTTCTGCCAGGCCCCGGCCAGTCTCAAGCCTGCTCCCCTTGCTCCCCGACCTCTGCACGCAGATTGAATCCTGGGCCCTCACGCTGAGCCACATCCCTAGAATAGAACATCTTCCCTGCTTCCCGCACCTCCTTTCCTGCTTCTTTTTCTTTGGTACTGGAGGTGAAACCCAGGCCTTTACACTGCGCCATGCCCTTAATCCAGCTTGATTGTCTATTCTGAGACAGAATCTTGCTGAGTGGCTGAGTTACCCAGACATGGTTTAAACTTCAATCCCTCTGCCTCAGCCTCCCAGAGTTCTGGGATTGCACACACGCATGTGTCACCATGCCCAGTGCAGTGTTTCATATTTTACCCTGCAAATCCACAGTGCAAGCGGTGTGGGGTGAAACGGTGGGTAAAGAAATTTTACAAAAGAGGAAGGGAGGCGTGGAGGGGCATCAGGCTTTAATCTAGGGCTCAGAGCTGGATGGAAAAGTGGGTTCTAGAGGCTAAGAGGAGCTCTTCTCTCCACCCCAGACCTTTCCTGTCATGAAATGACTGCTACCTGAACTCTTTTGAAGTTCAGAACAAAGCTATGCACAAGGCAAAATAATAATGGCAGGCAACACCTAGTGGGTACCAGGCACTGCTTAAAGCAGGCTGCAAGAGTGCCTAGGTTAACCAGCACAGTGTGGAGGAGGGAGGTGCTATTACTGGAAGGCAAACTCCTAGAGTTGTTGACTGGACTTGCCCTGGAGAGACAGTGAATGCCAGGATCTGCTTCCCGGTCCACTGCACCCTGAGAGCAGGCTCCTAGAGAAGGCTGCTGTGACCCAGGACCGTAGACCACGCAGTCTCCCAGCTATGGAGCCCAGTCGTGCTAGCAGGAAGCTCCGTGGAAGGCAGGACTGCAGCAGGTGTGAGCATAGTGGGTGGGGAGCCACAAGAGCAGGTGACATGGTTCCTGACACCAGCTTCCACTTTGATCAGTGGCCAGGGGCTGTCAGGTGAGGTTGGTCGTCCCTGCTAGTCTTGGTGGCCAGTTAAGGAAGGTGGGAGTGGGAAATGCCAGACGGTATGGCCACTTTCCCTCCATGACTCAGTCGCCAGCCCAGCCAGGTGGCTTCCCTCCTGCAGGGGTGCCCGGTGGGGAAAGCAGGAGGTCTTGCTCGATTCAGGGAATACTGTGAGGTCCTGACTGGGGGACAGAGGCTAGAGCACAAAGAAGGAAAGGCCACCAGCTGGGAGTGCTGCCGGGTGGCACAAGCAGTCAAGCCCTTGTCACATCCTGGACTGGGCCTTCATATGTAGCAGGCAGCTCCCTTATCATGAAAATACATAATATTTACCAACTTCACCCTGTGTGAGTCCATCGAGTGGACACAGGATGACCATGCCGTGCTGAACGCTGGTACACAGTCTCCTGGGCACCTTTGCACATATCTCTTGCATCTACACAGCCTAGTGGAGCAACAATTGTTCCTGGAGTGATCTGGAGGCCAAAGGTCACCAGGAAGCCACTCCGTGCCATGGGCGTGACCAGTTCCTTGACAGGAAGCTGCAGCTCCTCTGGGTCTCAGGGCTTCCGTGCAGAGGTCTCATGGCAGCTCCGGCCTGGGAAGCCATTGGTGCAGCTCTGGGTTTAATGACTTTATGATCCCGTCTGTGGGAGGGGATCCTCTAACTGGGGCATTTGCTTGGGCAGTGTTTGCGCTCCTGCACACCAGGCATTCTTGGGGTGCCGTTCCACACCCACCCACCTTGCATCCCTGGAGGCGAGCTCTGAATCTGCTGTGCCACCAGCATTCCAGGAGATGCTTGAGATTCTGCCAGGCGTGGAGCAAGGTGACTGGCCTGCTTTCTAGATGTGAAGGACTCAGCTTGTGTCCACGTCTGGGGCTGGGGCAGTGCACTAGGGGAAGGCTGTAATTCTGTCCGCTGTGTCTTCCTCACTCTCCCTGTCACTGGGATGCAGTACTCAGCACCCACAACTTAAAGGAGAGGTGTATTTAGCTTGTTTTCCATCCGCGCTCAGCTGGCTCCAAGGCAGAAGCAGTGTGGTAGGAGAGGCTGCTGTGCAGGGGAGCTGCTCGCATCAGATGGTCAGCAGGCACAGGGAGGTGGAAAAGGCTGGGTGCAAGATGCAGGTTTCCAGGCCACGCTCCTAAGGCCCCACCTCCTAACGGAAGTCGGCCACTGAACCCATCCAAGATGATCCCGCTGATGAATACTGCACCCCCACCACCCCATCACCTTCCACACACCCCAGCCCTGAACCTGTAAGGCCTTTGGGAGACACCCCAGATCTAAACCATGGTACTCACCCTATTACCTTCTCTAGGAGATCTTTTTTACTGTCCATCTGTCCCAGCTCATCTCAGAAAGATGTTGGGTGATGGGGAATTAGATGACATTAGGAGAGGAGTTTGCTTTGATGTCAGTCTTTCACTTCTACTCTAGACATCTTAATATGGTGAGGAAGGTGAGTCCTAGGCTTGGCTTAGCTATAGCTCACTGGCTGGTGTATGGACTGTTGTTCTCTACATGCAGGCAGAAAGGAAGTCAGTCTCTCAGTCACTCCATCCACCCAACCACTCACCCATCCATCTACCCACCCACCCATCCATCTATCCATCCACCTGTCCATCCATCCATCTACCCATCCACCCATCCACCAATCCATCCATCCATCCATCCATCCATCCATCCATCCATCCATCCATCCATCTACCCACCCACCCATCCACCAGTCCATCTATGCATCCATCCACCAGTCCATTCACCCAGCCAAATATCCATCCATCCAGCCAGCCAGCCAGCCAGCCACTTATTGGTCCCCCCATCATGCCTAACACGTCCCAGGTTCTTGGGATGTGAGAAAAATAAGTCCTTGACCTTGAGGAAAATAAATCCAATTTAGGCAATAGAAGAAATCTAAGGAGAAGTGGAAACAACAGCAATTGATTTCTTAGACACTTAGGACAATACGGGACACTAAGAGAAGGAACTATCAAAATTATTTAACATGGCAATTCAATAGAAGGAAATTTTAAAAACACTGCAGGCAAGCTTTGCACAGAGGGCAAAAGACAAATAACTTTTATATTATATAGTTCCCTGAAGCACAGTTTCCTGAATTTCTCCATGTGATTTTCGACAAGCCTGTGGCTCATTCTGCTCACAAGTCAGCTTCCAGGGGGTTGATGACTGCAGACACCAGGGCGTAAGCGAGCACCTGAACCCATTCCTGCCGCTGATTCTGAGCGCTGAGCTTTCACATAGGAACAGAAAACTTCAACCAAGGGTCAGTTTCCAGAAACACTCTAAGAAGGAGGATCCACGGTAGCCTTCAGCACTGCCCTCTGGTTCTGAAGTTCTGGGTGACCCTTACGTTCACAGTAAATCTGTGCTGCTTTGTGGGAGGTCTGTGGTTTTATATTTTCTAGCAATTAGAATCCAGCAGGACGAAAGGCATTAGTATTGAGATATTGCCCATGTGCCGAGAGTTGAATGGCAGACTGGTTAAATAGCAATTTATAATTTAAAAAGCTCAACTTCAGTGCTGTGATTTGACTTCCGTATGGTTGAGAAGGGAAAAATGAAACACAAGTGAGTGATCTCTGGGGGTGGTTCCTATCGGCCAATTGCTGGACGAGCTGCCCAGGAGGACTTTCTGTGGTGATGTGTATGCTCTACTGTTGTGGTTAAAAACTTGAAGTGTGGACAGTGGAACCGAGGCATTAAATACTTAATTGTACATTATTTTAACAATGTAAGTTTGAATTTACAGGAAACCAGCACTGAAGAGCTCTGAGGCAGCAAAAAGTCACAATGGCTTTTTCTTCCCCCCTTCCCTTCTCACGTCCCTTAATTTCCTCCCTGCTGTGCCCCACCTTACCATTTTCTTCCAACCCCAGGACTACTGCATAAAACAAGAAGGTAAAGTAGACACTAAAGAGGGTGGTTCTTGAAGAGCTAGGGAAGCAACCGCTGTGGGAGAAATAAATTCTCTGGTGGAGTAGGAATTGGATGGTAGTGCAAAGCCATGCTCCCAAGTGACCTTCCCTCGTGTGTCCCAGGTTTCTTTGGGCTCTAGAATCTCAAAGGGTAGGGACATGAAAGACAAGACCAAATGGCATTCTCCAGTTTTGTTTTGCTATAGCTGATTAATAGTTATTTCTTGACAAAGGCCGTCCCTGCCTGATATTCACCTCTCCGGTCCTAGGGAGTTACCATCGTGGCCGAACTTTATCTGCCTCTCAGGAATGTTGGAGCCAACAACTGATTACTTCTTAGATTGAGTTGCTAAGCAACTATATATTGGCAGCAGTAAATATTATGATAGAAGTCATCATAGAGAATTGAATAATTAGACACACCAAAAGGAAGTAGGCCTATGGTTTCTAACTATAGCAGTCTGAGTAGTTATAATATTATTGGAAAACAAGTGCAATTTAGAGTGGCAGAATTCATGATCCTATATGGTACAGATATCACTAAAATACTTTTTCTTTTAACCCTGTAGACAGTGTTGATGAACCAGGCACATCATTGCCCACCTGGGCCATCGCTCTGCTTGCAGTGTCACTGTCATTGCTTTTGATCCTGATCATCATTCTGATTATAATATTCTGCTGCTGTTGTGTCTCTGGGGAAGAGAAAAAAGGTAATTGTTTCTGTGTGGATTTATATGTGGGTACGGACTTTGGATACAAGCAGCCGATACGGAGCTCATCAGCTCTTTGAAAAGTTACTTTTTTTTTTTTTTGTCTTTTTCCTTTTTATCGGTACCAGGGATCGAACTCACGACTGCCTGCTTACAAGGCAGGCGCTTATGCCGCTGAGCTAAATCCCCAGCCCCTTGAAAAGTTACTTTACCCACAGTGAGATGTCACCCCACATCTGTTAGGTTGACTGTTATCCAGAAGACAAAGATAAGTTTGGGGAAGGGAGAAAGGGAAACTCACACGGCTGCTAGGAATGTAAAAAGGCCCAGCCATTATGGAAAAGTGATGCTAGCATGAAACCCAGTGATCACCAGGCATGTGTCCAAAGAAAATGAAACCAGCAAGTCAGAGAGGCAGCTGGACTCTGTGCCTCTCGAAACATTATTCACAATAAATAAAGAGTAGAAACACTATGTGGCCATCAGCCTGAATGGGTAAAGACAATGTGCAACAGTACACACGACATGGAATAGTACTTAGCCTTCAAAAGGGGGAAGCTCTGTCAGTTGGGACCACGAGGATGAACTTAGAAGATGGCACATGAAGAGAGGGAAGCCAGGCACGGGTGTGGCATGGTCCCACTCACACGTGGAGCCCTTGGGAGCTGAACTTAGAGAAACAGTAGAATGGTGGTTGCCAGGGGTGGGTTTGAGGACCTGGGGACATGTTGGTTAAAAGGTGAGCTTAGGCAGCATGGATAAATAAGTTCTGGAGTCACTGTAACTCTGAGACTGGGGTCCTAGTGCACTGTATGTTTTAAACTGCTAACTGTCCTCACTGTAAGGAGTAAGTGTGTGACGTGATCCCTCTACCCCACGGGCATGCAATCAGAACATTGCATTATGCGCTGTAAATATATGTGATTCTGATTTGTCAGACACACCCTTACACTCCAACAGGGACAAAACAGAACTTAAGTCAAAGGCCATGGTGGCCTTCAAAGTATTTGAAGGTAGCTCCAGCGAGAGAGAGGGCCGTCTAAGAGAGCAAGCTGTCCCTTGAGGCCTGTTGTACCCCTCCAGGCACTGAGACCTCCCCACCTTGGGGAAGGTGAGGAGGTGGCATCTGCCTTGCCAAGGGCACTGATTACTTGGCTGGTGTGCTTCTCTGCAAGGTGTGTGACTATTGTAACATGTCATTTAAATGCAATTGTTTTTTCTAGAATAACGTGTTTCCTTTTGCAAGTAAAGGTTCAGTGCAGTGGCAGAAAGAGAACTGAGATTTTCCTGTTCGTAAAAAATAGCACTAAACAAATTAATGAAATTAATCATACATTTCCTTCGAGTGAGGACTCCTGAACACACCGAGAAGCTGTATGCGGGCAGTGACCTTGGCTCAGGTCAGGACCAGCAGTGGGTCCCATCAGCATCACAGTGGGCTGGTCAGAGTAGGGGAGCTCGTGACTTCACACCCAGAGGATGCACTGTCATGTGGATGGCCAGAGCTTTCTAAGGCAGATGCCTGGGCACCTCTGTGTTTCTTACTCCTGCTCCTATCAGTATTTTCTATAGTGAAATCATGTTCCTTAGAGTGGAGGTTTGACATTTGAATATAGGTCAGTGGTCTGCATTTTTAATAGCTTAACTGCTTAGCTTAACTGCCATCCAGTAAAGAGTAGGGGTGTGTGTGTGCGCGTGCCAGGCGTGATGCTAACTCCTCTACACAGAGCCTCTCTCACTCAGACATTCCAGGTAATACCGGGTACACAGCCTCCACCACGGAGGTGACCCAGCCTTCCCCCCATCAAGGATTTGGTTTGGCACTGGAGGATCAATTCTGTGCTACCACTTTATTCCTTGGGAAGTAAGAATCCAAAACAGTAAACTCCTGTTGACTGAGGATGGCTGGGCTGTCTAGCTGGGAATTAGCCTGTGTGAATTACCCTGTGTATGCAGTGGGAAATTACCCTGGAATGACACGTACTGGCTTTCAGGTGAAAGGTGCTGAAATAACTTCTGTTTGAACTGGTCAGTGCCTTTGGGTGGGTATTGTCAACGTTAGTGCAGAGAGCAGTTGCAGAAGTCCAGTACTCTGGACACCCTGGGGCCGTGGCTTTCATCTGCTCTATCCTGGCCTGCTGGCTGCTAACCCACACAGGCTGTGATTTTTAGTTTTTTAATCTACACCGTGGAAAAAGCTATTCCCTGTAGGTCGGCTTTGAGAATTAAATGAATTAATGTATTTAAAATGTCTGTGATTTGTCCTCTATTTTACACATCCTTTAACTTTGAGGTGACAAGCCCATGGAAGGAACAGCTGTGTTTCCCCCTTGTCTGCGGCAGATCCAGGTGAGGGCATGCCCAGAGACTTAGGACGCTCACCCTGCACCACCAGGTGTGGCTCACAGCAGAAATTACATGGTTCCTTAACATAAACGCCACGGCCTATAGAGCTGCAGGGTTTCCCAGGATGATGATTTCAGTGCTTAAAAAATTAAGTGTATTTGTTTGCAAATGTATCTCCTGTAGCTCTCCTGGTCCCTGGAGAATTCTTTGTGTGCCAACTGGCTAACTGGGGAGTGGGTAAGAATGACCTAGCTTGGGGACGTTGCTATGGCAACGGGGAGACAGAAGGACTTGAAGGAGAGGAGTTTATCTTGGCTCACAGTTTCTGAGGTCTCAGTCCATGGTTGACTGGCTCCATGACTTTGGGCCTCAGGGCAGGCAGAACACCGTGGCAGAAGGGTGTATGAAAGGAAAGACCCCAAAAGTAAGGGGCTGGGGATCAGGATCATCCTCAGAGTCCTGCTGTGTGACCCACTCTCTTCGACCAGGCCCGGCCTGTCTCTGTCACCTCCCCTGATGGTGGACTAATCCACTGGTGAAGTTAAAACCTGCCTGGTGCAGTCTCCTTTCAAAAGGGGACAAGTCCTTGGCACACAGGAGACTGGGGGGAACATTTTAGATCTAATCCATCCATGGACACTTGGCCTATGGGTGTTGTTCTCTGTTTGCATAATGTAGACTCCCTCGAATCCAAGATCCATTGATTAGAAGCACTAGCAATTTAGAGATAGGCTTGGTTTTAGAGGGAGAGGAGTGCTGCGATTGGTGTAGGAAATCGAATGAAAATTTATCTTAGGATTAGAGAAATTGAATAATACTTGTATACTAGAGTCTAGTCTGCTCACCTCCTGGGGTCTGGGACAGTTAGGTGAGGCCAGGTTGTGTACAGTTCTGGTGGTGCCAGCACACAGGGCACCTGAGTGAGTGGCAGTGGTGGTTGGTGACACCAGGCTCCTCTTGGGAAGTAGAGTCTTCACAATCTTCTAATCAAACTCAGTATTCACTTACTGGGCACGCACCGTCTTGGGTACCTGGCTGCTTAGAAACACAAACTGAGTGCAAAGACTAATGGGAGGTCGTGAATGTTGGGGAGTCTGCAAAGTCAGTGAGATCTTATGTGTTCGAGTCGGCATCCTGGTTTTTCTAATGGAATTTTGTTCTCCTTTTTTGCAGAATCTAGTTATCAAAATGAAATAAGGTAAGTTGGAAGTGACACGGCTTTTTGAAAACCAAACCACCGCCACCACCATTAACATCTATACACGAACCTTTGGGATTTTAGGCTTTTATGTTACTCAGAGTTAAGTTCTGAAGATCAACAGCTCTGAAGAACTCATACACAGATCCTGGACCCACCCCGCGAATCATAAAACAGTGTGGGTAGGCGGACTCTGCCTTGACCTGCTCTGGTCACTCAGGGCGGATCGGTTTTCTTAACCTCTGCCGTTTGCAGTTGTCCCCAGCAGAGGGCGCTGTGCGCTGTGACTGTGCTACGGCTGTGCCGGGCTGGGGCTGCGGACGCGGCACAGGGATTTTCTGTGGGGATTTTGAGACAGACGGCCGCGAGCTGAGCAGATTCCTCCAAGCACAGGACACTGTCAGGCAGACAGATTAGGTGGTGTCTGCTGCCTGCTGCCCCATGGGAGAGGACAGGGTCAAGCCACCTCTGCTGCTCCACTCCGTCCAGCCGTCACAGGCACTGTAAAGGTGGTGGGGCTCAGACGGCTCTCCCAGAACCAGTTCACGGGTGCATGCATGCAGGGGCAGTGTCCCGACAGCCACATCCAGCTGTGTGATTCGATGAAAACACATTGACTGGGGTTGCAGATAGAGCAGTGGCCACAGGTGTAACCAGCCAGGGACCAAACGGTGCGTGTCTCAGATCTGGTGCCTTCTGAGGCTCCCCCGCAAGCTCGCTCAGTCAGACCCCGTACAGTGGAGACTGAGGACCCCCCAGCGGCCCTGGGCCCAGCTCAGGGCCAGGAAGAGGGAGGAAAGCCCCCTCGGGTGTTTATCTGGCATTTGTCTTGATGGAGGTCACAGGCAGGGCCATACCCTGAATTCTCTACTAGTCCCCTGTTGTTGACTGTGCTGCTATCTCTCTCTCTCTCTCTCTCTCTCTCTCTCTCTCTCTCTCTCTCTCTCTGTGTGTGTGTGTGTGTGTGTGTGTGTGTGTGTGTGTGTGTATTTCGAAGCTCAGTAAAGCAATAAGCTAGTTAGGGTAACAACAGGATGTATATAGTGAGGGTGGGAACCACAGGAACAGCAGAGCCCAAGGACTTGCTCCAAGCTCTGTAGAGGGCTTCGGTCTCCTTCATCCTCCTAGTCATTTTATAAAGCTGTTTCTCCTCTCTGGACCTGAGGACACTGAGGTCCACGGAGGGTAATATTCTGAGCACTGCCCCGGGGACACGGAAGGTCGGGATGCGACCAGCAACTCTGCAGCAGGCTGGGGTCCCTTGGCCAGGCCCAGCTCCCGCACTGGACCCGGGTGTCCCCACCTGCTCATGGGCTGACCATGTGCACCAGCTGTTAGTCCTTCCTGTTTGTCCCCAGCACTGACGTCACTCACCACAGGCACTGCTTGTGTTACCCTATGTGTTTCTTTTTTGGGATCAGTGCATGTTCATAGAAGAAAAATTAAACATGAAGATAGGAAGCAGGGCTAAGGTCACCCACAGTTCTACTGTCCAGGAGTGGTGACTCAAGTGTGTAGGGAGCACTTAAATGCATGTGTGTTCATGCGTGTACACAGACCGGTACACATAGGCATTTTGTAACGTTTGGACTGTCACATGGTTTTACAGCTTGCTCTTCTCACTGGCATTATTTTTTTCTGGAAATGAGACCTTCAGTACAGGTCTTCCCACTTAGCTTCTCCCTCAGGCCTTTTGAGGTGGGGTCTCACTAAGTTGCTAATTTGCCCAGGCTGAGCTCAAACTTATACCCTTCCTGCCTCAGCCTCCCAAGACGCTGGATGTACCATCGTGTGTCCCCACACAATGCCTCACTCCACATTATTCTGAAGGTGACTTCTGTGAATGAACCATCGTGTGCAACACTACTTTGCTTGGCAAACTTTTTAACAGAAGTGTAGGAACAGAAAATTGCATGTATCATCTATGTGTGCCTGGACAGGTGTTGCAAGCACGAGTGGTGGGTGCAGACTGATGAGGGTCAGAACCCCAGCAGCTGCCTTGGACCTTTGTTAAATCGCTCTCTGCCCACCTTGTCTGCAAAGGCCACGCTCTCCTGCCAGCTTCTGCCATGTCCCCAGAGGCCATGGAGCTGGAGTCCCATCAGAGAGAGGTATCCATACCTGCCTTCCTGAGCTTCCGGCTGGGAGCTGAGCCACGACATGGCCCGCAGCTGTGGGTGGGCTGCTGACTGCAGGATGCTGCGATCTGGACAGGCGTGCAGCTCACTTTTCATTTTGCTTTAGTCCCACCGAGACTGTTTTCTGGTCAGGGCTGCTGCAAATGGCACGAGGCTCCAAGCATGTCCAGGCATGCTTTTGGTACCTGAGTGTCCACAACTGTGTGTGGCCTTCTGCATGTGCCTCTTTATCAGGGAGAGCAGGGGCACGGGACAGGCATGTGGTCAGTGTGGGATGAGCCTGCCTCAGTGTCCCGAGGCAGCATTTCCATCTAGCCCACTCCCAGGGGTGTGCATGAGAACTCACCGCCACCGATTTCCTGGCGCAGAGCCCCCCTTGGAGACAAGTCTCCAATTGTTTCCCAGTCCTCTGAGCGTTTGCAATTCTTGTTCTCATATGTGGCTCATAAGTGAAGATTCAAGTCAACCTTTGCCTATCTCAGATGACTTTCCTAGAAATTCCTACAAGGTTTCAGAATATTTTTAATATTTAGAAGTCTGAGACTATTTTTAACCCTCTGGATGCCCACCGAAGCTTCCTTCCTTGAGGAAGCAACAAGCTTTGTTCCATTTCAAGGGTTGGCACATTTGATCTATAAAGGGCTACATGATAAGTACGTTTGGTCTTGTCAGCCAGGGATGGTGTCACACACCTGTGATCCCTCTGGAAAGTTGAAGCAGGAAGGTCACTAGCTCAAGGCCAGCCTAGGCATCCTGTGACTTACTTGAAACCCTGTCTCAAAAAAAAGCAAGAAAGAGAGACAGAAAAATAGGAAGGGCTGGGGATGTGGCTCAGAGCAAAGGCCCTAGGTTTAGTCCTCGTACCAGAAAAATCAAAATAAAACAAAAAGAATGCCTTACATGTAACCATGGAGACCTGGTGTCTGCCATCGATTAACACTTGACTTTATAAAATGCTCCAGTTCTAGGAAATCTGCAGGTGTGAAAACAAACACAAGAGCTCTTGAGACAAAGCCACAACACGGGACTGATAACTACGGGTACAGCTCGGATGAACCCAGGAGCTCAGGTGAGTAGCAGACAGAGCAGGGGGAAGACCGTATGACAGTGCAGGCCGTCAGGCCGGGTGACCAGACACCAGCTATTATAACTCAGGCCCCGGTATAAAATCCAAGGAAGTAAGAGACCGAAAATTTAGGTGACAAAGGCTTTATTTCCAGGCCTGGCGACTAGTCTCCGGTAGCCAATTTGGAGACTGTGTCCCAGAGACTGAAGGGAGGACTTTAAAAAGAGGCTGGAGGAAAAGGGTGGGGGGGAGAAACAAAGAAACCTGCAGAGCCATCAAACTTGTTGACCCGAGTCTGGAATCTGTATTGCTGTCCACTTAGCTCTGACAATCTCGGGAGTTCCTGGTGTTTCTCAAATTACTCCCATCCTACAGACTGACATTATCTCGGAGTGGCACATCTGCAGCAATATTTGGGGAATAAAGTGGACAGTTAACTATCCCAGGACAGCTCGTTTTCGCTAGTGGGTGCGAAGGGGTCAAGAGTTACAAGAAGCTGAAACTTAAGTTTTACAAAGATCTGATATCTAACTCATTTGATGCATACAGAACAAAAGGAAAGCACCAATTGGGGTTTGGGCCATAGTATTTCCCGGTAATTTCTTTGAAGCTAAACAGTTCTTAAAATTTGGGGCAGGCTCATTTTATGACAGATCATCACTGGGTCGGGAAGAGGTCACCAGAAGCCCAAATTCTTTATGGCCTAGATAGATAGGTGAGGGGAGAGGGAGGCAATAAGGCGCCATACAGAACAGAAAACGGCGGTTATGTGTCAAGGTCAGGGTAAAGAGTTAAACTCCTACACAAATCTCTCTGCACACAAGCAGGTTACTTTAAACAAGTGTAAATTAGTGGGCCATCCTAGTTTTCTTTAGCTCTTTAGCAGAGAATAGAGGCACCTAACAGTGATTAACAACCCTTGTTAGCTTGTTTTAGCACAACTTCTGTAGTTTGTAGAGGGCAACAATGGTTAACATATCAATTAGGTGAGTTTCTTGCAATTCTTTACAGAGGAGAGTATTGCTCAACATATCAATTAGGTCACTTAACATATCAGTTAGGGAAAAAGGATTAAAAAACACATTTAGTAAACCACTTTTGCAGGTTTGCTATAATACACATATAACGAAGCTATTTTCTTAGAGTACAACACCAGCCTCCCAGGGAAGGTCACTTGGATCGGTGGGAATTATATTTTGGATCAATTTTAAAAGGAGAAATTCTAGAATCAGGAACACCTATGAGTAAGTTCACATTTTTAAAAAAAAACCAAGATTGTCTAAAGTTTAAAATAAAGTGAGGTGAAATCCCAGCTTTTGGGAGGCTGAGGCAGGAGGATAGCTGTGAGTTTGAGGTCAGCCTGGGCTACAAAGTGAGCTCACTAGGCAGCCTGAGCTGCATAGTGAGACCCTGTCTCAAAAAGACAGAGAGTTTGAGGCCAGCCTGAATTATACAGACACTGTCTCAAAACAGGGAAGGGGCTGGGGGTATAGCTCAGTGGAGCACTCCTGGGCTGTCGGGCCAGCTTGACTCCTGACCTGGACTCCAGGTGTGTGCACTGCCCCCTCCTGGCCCGTGTGGCAGGCAGTGGTCTCATCCTGTCCTGTTCCCAGCGCCTCCTGGAAGGTCTAGGGGACTCAGGCGTGTCTTTCTAATAGGCTAGGCACAGTCATCTTGGATTTCGCAGTTAACGTCTTATTTGGCTGTGATTTTTTTAAAAATTAAAAAAAGAAGAAAAAAGTTTCTCAGCTGGAAAAGGAGCTACACAGGAAAGGAAGACGATGCGGTGGTCCCAGCTCCCCAGGTGTCATCCTGAGACCCCACTGCGTCTATGCTGCATTCTCTGCTGCAGTCTGATGGGGAACTTTTCCCCTTTGTTTGAAACAGCAAGGTTTTCAGTAGATTTAAAAAGGAAAAGAACACAGCAAAGACGCCCCCTTCTTACCCCTCCAAAAAGCCAAGGGCATTGTGGGGGCATCTAATATGAAGGTGGCTTCCCTCCCAACCCACCAGGGATGTCCTAAAATAAAATATTTCAATAAGCAATAAAATAAGGTAGAAACTGGAAATTTTTTAAAAATAAGTTTCTGGGATTCTCCGATCCATGCATTTTCTTTAAAAGCTTCCGATCTGAAATGCCTGGCAGCCACTTTCTCCTTGAGCCTAACCTCCTGCAGACTCCAGCCGGGTTCAGGTAAATTGCACTTGGCGAGAAGTGGTCCCTGCTCACTGTGAGCAGGCCCTGGGAGGGTGGCAGCCTCTGCTGCTCCTCCTCTTCTGGGGTCACTCTGAGCAGGGTGACTGCAGCAGTAGGGTTTGAAGTCAGAGCCAGGGCAAAGGCCGCAGTCACTCCTTAGTGGTCCCACAGGAAAGCCAGCCCACAAGCTGCCTGCCCCAGCAAATTCCATAGGAAGCTTTTAGCCAATCAACTCTCAGAGAGGGCCGGAAGGGCCTGAAAGCCTTTTATTTTTGGTAAGACCGAGACCCTGTTATCAGTAGTCCTATTCTGATTTCACCCAGCGGCTTCTCGTATGCACTACAGATTGTGTGCGCCACATTTTAAACAAAACCCCACAGAGCGGTTACTGCCTCCTTTGATGACAGGACCACAATTCCTTGCAAAGTTTCTTGTGAACAGTTGTTCATTAGTATGCTAAGCAGTGAATCAATGATCTTTTTTGTGGTACTGGGAATTAAAGCCAGGGCCTCATGCATACCAGACAAATGCTTTACTACTGAGCTATATCATCAATCTTTCAGCAAGTATCTTTCTAAATTGCTTTTTCAGTATTGGAGACTGAACCCACAGGTGCTTTGCCACTGAGCTACATCCCAACCCTCCACCATTTAAAGAAAAAAAGTGCACAGGGTCTTGCTAAGCTGCTGTGGTGGAATTTGAACTTGTACCATCCTGGCCCAGTTTCCCTCAGTGCTAGGATTATAAACTGTACCACCACAGCCTATAATATAGATTAAGATCTATAATCTTAATCAAGTATCTTGACCAAATCACAGCTCAAACCTCTCCTTCCCCCCAGGTACCCTGTGTTCATTTCCCTGGTCAGCTAGTAAAGCTATGGATTCATCTTCACTTTGGATGAGACTGATATACCAAGAAAAGAATGAATTTTGCGTCAGTTTGCCCTATTTTTATTTCATTAAAAAAATGAAGTTCCAAAACTGTATCATCCCAAGGGGATTTTTTTTTAAAGCCTATTTCTGCTTGTGCTAGCTTTTGGTCACTGTGACAGAATATCTGAGACAAGTGACTTATAAAGCAGAAAGGTTTGTTTTAGCTCCTGATTTCAGAGGTCCCCATCCAAAACTGATAGACCTTATTGCTTGTGGGCCTGTGGCAAACAAAGTATCCATGCAGGGAAAGCAGTGTGGCAGAGCAGAGCCTCATCTTGCGAGCCAGAAAACAAGGAGAAGCAGGAGGGACAGGATCTCCATGGCCCCTTTGAGGCCACACCCCAGTGACCTAACTTCCTCTCTGCCCCTTAAAGATTCCACCACTTCCACAAAGCCGAGGACCAAGCCTTCGACACATGGGCCATTGGGGGACATTTTAGATCCACACTGCAGCAGTGACTGAGGATTCTCTCATAGCAGAGTTAGTATATAAAAGCAAATTATGAATCCTAGCTGGTAGGGTGGACATGGTCTTTATCACTCACTGCACTAAAGTCATTCTTCTTTTGCAGGCAACGCTACTTTGTCTCCCAGGTCCAGGGAACCGAATGTTCCAGCACAGCGGAGTAGCCCTCCTCAACAGGTAACCCAGATCCTTCTTTTTCTATTTAAGAATCCTTAGCATGTGCTAGGTGACTGTAAAACCCTGCGTGTTGTGTGTTCCGCTGGGAAGAAGGCCTCTGTTCCTGGCCTCCGTTCCTCACCTCCGTGTCAGTGGGCTGGGCTGGGGGAGTGTGGTTGGGACAGTGACCCTCTCTTGTCCCTGTGGCAGTGGCTCCAAGACCAAGGCTGATGGAGCATAAGTGTCTGGTGCAGGTTTGGGGAGGAGGTGGCTTGTCAGTGACCTGTCACCCAAGCCAGCAAAATCGTGAGCCCCCTATGCATTTGCCATTTGTTCTGCTGAGCCAGGTTCTCCCAGGACTTGAGCCAGCCGTGCTGTCCTCATTCCCAGCCCTCACTTGATGCCCGCCTGCCCTTGACCCTCAGGCACTGGGACTCAGGAAGGATGTGGGTGCTGGTCCTGAGAGGCACACAGATAAAGCGTGGCTTGCTGTTCAAGGGAGGTCTGTGCCCACGGGCTCGAGAGCCTGGACGATCCTACTTGGATTAGACTTTCTGGGGGGAAAGGAGGAGTCGCTGATAGTTTTGGATTATAGCCAGAGAAGTGGGGGTTGAAATGGGGGATGTCATAAGCCAGGTGGATTTGAGGAAAGAATAGGCATAGAATGTGGAGTGTGTAGGTTTTGAGGTGTCTTAGATGTCTACACAGGGAGACGTGCATGCAGCTGGATGCTCAGGTCCGCAGCTCTGGAGAAGTGTGGATTTTGGTTGTCAAGCACTGTGCAAATGGATATGACCGCAACCAGTCAACGAGGAACCTTGAGAACATACTGTGTTAATCTCTGCTATGGAGTATTCCCTGTTAGCACATATAAATGAACTAGAGCTAATAGGCAGAAATAAGAATTCTCATATCCAAAAATCATATTGGGTAAAACAAACATAAGCAGTACCCTTCTCTGATCTGCACAGATGCAACCTCAGAAGAGAAATATTACAAGGTGATTCTACATCAGGGTCTACAGTGAGCAGAGATGCTCCCTTTAGCCTGAGGGCCCTGAGGGAGAATGGGGAGCTGCAGGTGATGCTCCAGCAGGTGGCAGGTGGACCTGTCATTAGTGCTGACAGAGGTGGCCTGGTGGAAAGGTCTGTGAGTAGAAGGCATACAGAAGGTGAGGCTGGGGGACAGACGCTGGCCTCTGGTGTGAGTTCCTGCTTCTTTCTCAGCTGGCTGTCAGGACAGTGGAGAGGTAAATTCTTTCCATCAGGGGAGATCTCTTTAGCACCTCTATCTTTTGAAGGTTTTCCTCTGGAGCTGGGAGGGACAACTCTAGAAATGTGACAGGTTTCCTTTAGAAGCACAGGTGACTAAGAGGTGGCTATTGAAGAGGTGTGACAGTCACCCTGTGAGGGCTGCTGCTTGTCAAGGCCTGGGCCTGGTGCAGTCTCTACCACCTGGCACCAAACACAGACAAGCTGAGAACCTGATTCAGTCAGCTACTGTTACCCCAGACTTTCTGCAGGTTTCCACTATCCTAATCCGGACGTTTGACTGGGTGGAGACTCAAGGTAACTCTCATCAGATCACCCTTTTGAGACACAGCCGCTGAAGGACCAAAGGGCACCTAGGTGTGTCTGCAAAGAGCAGCGGATGGCATTGCTGAGCTCTCAGGGATCCTTCTGAATGCCTGCAGGGCCGTTTTGAAAACAGGGAGAGAAGTTTAAGAGATTTCCACAACCGAAACCTGGCACCAGCTGCATAATCCACTGGTGGAAGAGGAGCAATGGCCGTGGAGCTGCTAAGCCCTGTGATGGCAGCCCAGGCCGGAGTCCCACCTCAGTCACCTTCTCTGCCTGACACCTGCAACTTCTGGGAAGAGAGGTTTATTTGACACTGTAGAAGGGTCAGTCCATAGCTGGCTGGCTCCAAGATAGGGCAACATGACAGGTGCATCACAGAGGAGAATTGTTCCTGGCATGGCAGACAGGAAGCAGAGAGCAGGATCAAGGGAGGAGTGGGGGAGGGAGGTGGGCCTTCCCAGGCCCCACCTCAGGGATCCGCCTCCTCCAATCAGGCTCCACCCCCAGCATCACCTGTAGCTGTGAATTCACTGTCTCAGTTACTTTTTACTCATTGCTGAGACAAAATACCTGAAGCCCAAAGTTGGGAAAGGAAAGGTTTATTTCTTACAGTTTTTAGAGGTTTCAGTCCATACTCAGTTGGCTCCAAGACAAGGTGGCATGGTGGGCAGCAGTTCATGGTGGCTGCAAACAGCAAGGCCAAAACCAGCAAAAGAGAGCGAGACACGTCTTCTTCCTGCCATTACATTACATCCTGGCTCCACCCCCTAGGCCCATGTAGCGCTCACACCCCCAATCCAAGCACTAGACAATGAACCAATCACAAATGCACATTGCAAATGCATGAGGCCTGGGGGCCACCAACATAAACCATGACACTCACCTATGGACAAATCCATGGATGAGTACCAGACACCCATAACCCAAAGCCCCCAAAGCCCCACCCTTGAGCACATGAGGCTTCAGGCGACATCCAGATCTAAACCATGTCCTGTTCCCTGAATGTCTGCAAGACCTCAAGAGAGCTGTGTGTCTCTGCAGAGCCAAGCTCCTTAGGAAACAAAGCAGAACCCCAGAATGAGGGGTCATCATTGACTGGGCTGAAAGCTGAGGAAGGGCCATGGAGCAGCTAGGCAGGCCTGTCTATTTACAGCGAGGAAATTGAGGACAATCACAGGTCTGAGGAGGTCAGTCTGAGTTACCCCAAAAGGCACCTTCACAGGCAGGCGGTGTCTAGGTGGCTGTGTGGGGAGCCCTGCTGCAGAAGGTACTGTGGGTATCTGCCTACTGAGGGGCATTGGAGGAGCCAAGGACCCTAAGGTGCTTATTCCAAAGACCTCCTGTAGTCAGCTGGCCACTTGAGAGCTGCTGGAGTGACCAAGTCACAGCTTGCCAGCAGGTCAGGGGACACTTAGCACAGGGCTTCCTTCCTTTCAGAGCTTCCTGCAGCCTGCCTGGGCCATGTGGCCCAGTGGTTGCTGTACAGGGTGGGGACCCTGCTCAGAGCTCCTCAGGCTCTGGTAAGGACCCCATGGTCTTTGTGTTCTTCCCTCAGCCCTTCCTGATTCTGCAGGGCCTTGTTCCCTGGAGGCCCAGGAGAGGCAGCTCAGAGGGGTACTAAGCCCCTCTCGCTGGACCTTTCTGCCTCCTGTCTGAGTTTGGGATTGCTGGCCACAGGATTGCAGTTTGCAGAAAACCCTCCCTAAGCTCAGAGTGAACAGCCTGAGCCAGCCTGCAGCCAGCATGGTTCCAAGCCCCGGCACCACCACAGACTCCTTCTGTCCGTCCTAGGGGACACCGGGAGCTCCCGGGGATAGGGGTCAAATCCAAGGCCTTTCGAGCACTGAAACCACACCCCTGCTACTGAGCTGCACCCGTCACATCACTGCCCATGTCACAGCTCCCTGCTGGTCTGGCAGAGCTCTCAGCAGTGCAGCACCAGGGCACAAGGGCTCATTACAGGTGGACCAGAATGTCCAGAAGACAGGGTCAAAACTGGTATTTTCTCCACATTTCCTAGGTGATCTGCTTTGAGGAGGAAGTGTTTCCAGACAGGGGCATCATCTTCTCTAAGAAAGAATATTCTGAGTTCTAGGGGTTTTCTTACAACTGTGCATTTGGAATTGCTTGTGCCTCACACACCCAAAGCACTGAGCTTTCTGGAAAACATAGATTTGAGACACTTAGGGGACATTGTGCTGACCTCTCCACTGTCCACACAGTAGTGTACTTTGTAAAGTCTCCCATGCTTTATATGTGTGCAAGCATAGAATGCACAAAGAGGAAAGAAATACAGTTTTAGGCTACAGAGACCCCAGATCACGCATTAAGTGGTGTAAAAAATCTGAAGCAGAAAAGAGACTGATTTTCTTTTCTTTTTTTTTAATTTATTACTTTATTTATTAATATTAAGAAGAAAAGGTAAAACAAATTTTCACAACAAAATAATGAAAAAGTAACAATTGTTAATAAATTACGCAACATTATCTTTGTGAGAGATAATGAGAGACTGATTTTCACAATGGCTTATCTCCACTACAGAGGAGAAGTTTCCAATACAGTTACAGTTTTGATGCTGACATTGTTTTCAAGATAGGAGGTGAAACAGGGTTAGCTCAGCCTGCAGCAGCCGAGGCTTGCATTTGAATCATGGGCTTTCGCAGGCAAACAGTCTAAAACTCGCTTTGTCGGATTCCAAACACATCCAACGTGCCAGGCATGGTGGCACACACCTGGAATTCCAGCAATTGAAAAGCTGAGGCAAGAGAATCACCATGAGTTCGAGGCCAGCCTGCACTACATAGCAAGCCCCAGTCTCAAAACAAACAAACAAACTCCTGAATCCAACTTATGAACATTCTCCCTGAATGGACTCAGTAGTTAGGGCTTACTATACACAAAATTGGGAATTTTTACCAGAAGTTACAATCAGCTAATGGGAAAGGAGAGTTCGTATTTTAATATGTAGCCATGTGTCCTGATGAAACATTTGAAACACATAAACATCCTTCCCTCCCTTTCTGTGCCTTCACTCAGTCAACTTTGTGGTTGTTTTGGGAGATTCCGTCTCTGTTAGCTTTAGAAGGTGAGGTTATGAATGTCTCAAAACCTACCTGGAGACTCCCGACTCACCTTGGGTCCTGCTAGGAAACATGGAAATCAGCTAGAGGTGGATTCAGGCAGCAGCAGCCCCCGTGCACACCCCAGTGGTAGGACAGCGTGATGACTCCGCAGCCATCCACAGCAGAGTTCACAGCAGGAAGCTGGAAGAGAACCACCCTGGCTCAGTTCATTCCAGCTGGAGCCAGCTGGGTCTTCCCTCAGCCTCCCTCCAGTTCCACTGCAAGGCGAATCACTCGCCGGGCCCTTTACATCATGGGACGTGATAGGAGAGGCCACTGTGCCTTGGATTAGTCCTCGGGGCTGTCAGGAGGCCGGTGACATTTCTTAATAGGGCGACTGTGAGGCAGGCACAGGCCTCTGGGGAGCATCCCATGGGTTGTTTGGGGAATGTTTCTGAATGTGATGGCAGAGACGGATCCCTCCTGACAGCAGCCCAGCATCTCACCATCCAACGGGACACCAGGGGACCTGTTCTGAGGCAGTTCTTCGATCCTTCCATCTGCCCTTTTAGAGGGAATGCGTGGTATTTGCAGAAGCGTGGAAATAGTTTCTGTTTTCATAGAAACTCTCTGGTAAAACAAGTATAAGGTAATCAGCTCCATGATGCATGTATTCATTATGCACTGCAGGAGCGAGGGTTTAGTGTGAGTTTGATCCCTGGTACCAAAACCACACACACACACACACACACACACACACACACACACACAGAAAAAAAAAAAAAACTTTATGCACTGCAAACATATAGTAATAAAAAGATAAGGAAACAAGCACTTCCACAGGAGGACTGAAAGAGTAAACCAGGGAATCTGCACATCTGTGAATTGTCATATGAGAGAATTGTGGAGTCTTGGAATTGGATTGCTCTTTGGGTCCCGGACCTGGAAAACACCTAGGGCATGTGCTGTTGAAAATGACAGAGTAAAGGCAGGGCCTGTTTAACATGTTTTCCTCGCTGCACCCCACTTCTGTCCTCATTGATGAGAGAGGCTTCTTAGGGTGCCTTTCAAAGCGAATCCAAGCCATCAAAGTGTCCTTTCCCTTTGTTGCCAGGAACCGGAGAAGCAGCGGCCCACCCCCGGAAGCCGCCCACAGGTTTCCTTCAGCCTCGCCAGCCCTCAGAAGGTCAGGAACGTGACTCTGGTGTAGCAGACACGCGGGCTCCATTTCTCACTCCGCTGATGGCAGCCTCGCCCTTCCCTGTGCCAAGCCTGGGTGACAGCTCTGCCAACGTTCCCGATGGGTCAGGCCACGTCAGAACTGACACTGCCTCGCAATGCAGGAGTCACTTTTCCCAGACTCCATGTTGACTTTTAAGATGTGCCATGGTTTTAACGAATTCCTTAAAAGTAAAATCTGCTAATTTATCGTAATGGTGTTTCTCATCATCCAACACTCCTGTTGCTCATGCAATAAATGGTAGCTAAGCCTGTATTCTGCACTGGTTTGTAATATATTTTTACTTTCCTAAATGTATTAATTTAATATTTATGTATGCTTAATAGGTAGAATAACTGCATATTAGAGTCAAGTTAGCAGTAAAAATTGTGAACAATCAGAATTTCAAAGCTTACTGGCAAATTGGAGTTCAGTGGGTTAAAAATAAGATGTAATTTAGCACGAGGAGCACATTCCTAAATTTCTCATGGTCAGTATCTTTTTTTTTTTTTTCTTTTTGAGACAAAGTCTCACTATGCAGTACAGGTTGGCTTTGAGCTCACTTTGAGCTGGTCTTGAACTTGCAGTGATCCTCCTGCCTCAGCCTCCCAAGTGCTGGGATTACAAGCGTGCACCACCATGCCCGATTCCCAGTTGAGAGCTACAAGAAGATAAGTCATTTCCATCTGCTCCTGTAGCAGCACTGCCTCATCCCCTCAAATGAGCTTGGTGTGAGTTCTGCCTGGTATGGGAAGGAAGTTCACATTCTACAGACATCATTTTTAAAACCTGGAAAGGACAAGGCATCCTTCAATAAACAAAAATGAAAATCCCCAACATGTCCATAACTCTACTACCAGATGGTAGTTTAAAGTCATGGTGGTTAGAAATGAAGTATTTTCCAAGAAAGAAAACAGGGACTTCTGTGAGTAACGACCCCAACTACCTGTTTCTTACTTCTGCCCATGTGATCCATTTAAAGTCAATGGTATGCTGATACTGAGAATGAAATCTCTGCCTTTCCCAAATACAGTTGGTCTAGGTCCATTCAGTGATGTTCACCAACCACACACCCCCTCTCATGTAAGCCAAAAGCAGGGCATTACTTGCTGGAGTTCTGTACTGGTTGGCATGATTTCTGTGCTGGGTGATAGTTTGTGGCTGCTCTGAGCCCCTCATGCCCAACCACACTGTTGCTAAGGTGAATTTGACTTTTTAAATGTGTCAAGATTTTGGCAATTTCCTTGCAATTACAAAATAAAAGATGAAATTCATCCTGTTGTTTCTCATCCTTCATTACTCCTGCTTGCTAATCCAGTAAATGGCAGACAAGTCCTACATGACCATGATTTATTAAATACTTTTATGATCTTAAATCTCATGGAATCTCCTCCTGTGAACCAAGGACTAACTCAAAGGCTAATTCTTGAAACAAAACTGGATGGGTTTCTGTTCCAAATAGCCGCTGCCCATATAGTTCCATTCTGATTGGCTAGTTCTCATATAGTCCATCCTGATTGGTTAGTTCTCCTATAGTTCCATATGTTCCATTCTGATTGGTTAATGCCCATACAGTTCCATTCTGATTGGCTTTTGCTGCACAATTCCAGCGGGTTTTTATGAAGTATCCGTTCTGGTTGATCAGTGCCTATTATACAATGACTGTTCTGATTAGATGGTGTTCATGCCATTGAAAAAACTGTCTTCTGCAAAACTGGCCCCAGTGCCAAAAAGGCTGGGGACCCCGTCCCAGAGGACAACACCAAATAATTTTTGTAAGTTTCTCCAATTTCAGCCATGCTTGTTAAATCACTGGTCAAGCTGCAGGTATTGTTTCAGTGTCATTGCTGAGATCTAAATATAGTTTGTCCCTCTCTTCCATTTACTCTCCAAAGTCCCATGTTAATGGTTTCAGAATGTGGAAACTTAACCCTAATATGGTGTTCAGACATGGGTTTTTGACCGTGATTAGATGTTAGAGCAAAGGCCTCATGACCTCATCCTGGTGGCTATAGGAGGAGAAGGAGGCCAGAAGACACACACACTTCTGCTCTGCTATGGTACCAGGGACACCCTGGCCAGAGCCAGCACACTACTCTTTGGACTTCCAGCCTTCAAAACTGTGAGCTACATTAACCTGCTTTCTTTATAACGTAGGATCCCACAGGCATTTTGTTATTAGTAATAAAAAGCAGACTAATACAATCGCTATTTTGAATAGGTCCTTTTTGCTCTACTATAAGAGTTTCCCAAAGGAATTCCATGGCTCATTTTATTTCCTAAGAGGTAGATGTGTTATTTGAACAAAACTAAAAATACACCAGAGCCACATATGACTATTAAAATTGAAATTAAGCTAAATGAGGCCTCCATTTGCTCACTTGCACTGGCCACCTGTGCGGTGCTCCATTGTCACCTGTGACCAGTGGCTGCTGCAGCAGACAGGTCTGCATTGTTGCAGAAAGGTCTACACCAGTGCTGAGAACAGCCAGCTATGTGGTAATGGTTTAGATGTGTCACCGTGGGGCTCTTTCCTACAAACAGCAAGCTGTGCTTTCTTCAGCATTTGTCTACACTCAGCCAGTTTCTATTTCGGAATCCTGCAAACCCTAAGGTAGTGCTCAACTGAAAATGGGGTTTTGCTAAAGTGGTAAAACCCTCTCCTGCTTTGCAGTGCAGAGAGCTGCCACTTTCCCATCAGTTCCTGGTTTGAGGTGAATCTGTCGTGGCAGAACATTGTGGTCAAAGTTGTTTCATGACCAAGATAGATGAGGGTGTTCGCATGGCTGAGGAGTCTGCACAGGAATTTCAACAAATACCCCATAAAATCATGTGTCAAATTCCTGCCCAGGGAACCCATCCTTGCCCGTTGCTCCTGAGGGCCTTTGACCTTTCTTAGCCTACAGGATTCTAAGCCTGCCCCAAGTCAAGGCTCTTCCATGGTTCATTCAGAGCAGGACCCAAGTGACTGTGAAACCCTAAAGGTAGCTGAGAGCGTGGACAGAGGCACTTCCTTACTCAGTGTGGTCCTGACCTTGGAAAACTGCCATGGGCATTAAAGTGGGGGTGCGTGTCCCTGAGAGTTGGAGGACATGAAAGGTGGATGGCTGTTGTGGAGCACTGTAGAGATGCTACGTCAGTATCTGGACCCCAGCATTTAAATGCTTGTGATGCCTTTAGGGATGAACACACGCCTGTGTAAAGGCAGAAGATCCTGCCTTGGGACCTTTGAGAGAAAGGGGAAAGTTAGAGTTCTCTGGGTCAGTTCTGTGGCATCTTCGCTTGTGCCATCTCCTCCAGTGGCCTCCCCACCCTGCCTTCTCATCCAGGGCTACAACAGCACCCTGGTTGACCAGCAGCCTCCTTTACAGCCCCTCTGGTCTCTAATGGTACAGCCCTGGCTCCTCTGATCTCAGACACTGCTCAGAAGTCCCACCAGCCCCTGCCCCCTCTGGGGCTCCATCCTGCTTAGTCCTCAGGGGAGCTAAGGGGCCATGGTCTGTCTTCTAGAGCAGCTGCAGAACAGTTGGGGGCAGCTGGTCCTGACCACTAGGGGGACACCAGCCCTTGGCTCCCTAAGCTTGGGGACCCAGTGGCTGGCTCTGATTTCAGTACCAGTGGCAGGGGTGGCTGGAGACACCTATGACTGTCCACAATGTGATAAGCATGGGCCACAGAGAAGCAGCAGTCAAATGGTGACGGGGGCCTGAGAGACACAGGAACCAAGTGAGACCAGGCCAGGCGACTTTCCTGCTGTCAGCTTGGTACCTTCTCTGTGGCTCATCTCATCTTAGATTCCACTGGCGTGGTAAGTTAGAAGTGCAAAGTACCATCCCACAGCTACAAAGCCTGAACCAAAGCAGAAGTGCAGGCAGATTCCATCATGGTCATGCTGGGCTCAGCCATGGGGTGGAACGCTCACCATGTCTTCCTAGAATTGGTCTCACACAGACTATGGCCTCATGGGATATGCAACAAGATGCTTAGAGACAGTTGGGTGATGTGATGGCAACATGCAGTGTGGCTGCTCACCACACTCTGTCCCTAGGCTGTGCTGTGTGTGCGAAGACTCTCAGTCCAAGCTTACACCTTGGGAAGCATCTGCATTGATGGAAACCACTGAGTAGGATTTAAATGAACCACTTGGCTTTCTGTGTGTATCTGTGAGTCTGTCCCACGTCCCCTGTCTGGCAATGGGAGCTGATCCATAGTAAGCAAACCTCTGTGAATCACTGGTCCTGCCTGAGGCCTGTAGTGAGTGGCCTGTGATGCCAGAGATGCCTCAAAGGACAAGATGAGGCCACAGCTGAGGACGCCTGGCTCCAATTAACTGATAGAGCCTGCAGCTGCAGACGTTTCATTCCTGCTGTCTCTGTCCTGCCATGAGTGTCATGGAGATAAGACAGTTCTCCTAAACTACTTTACTACATGGAGAAGTCTTTGAAGTGACTCTCTAAGTCCTGCTCAGTTCCCATTCTTTCCTCAGAATCCCCTCTCTTTGCTTGAAAACCTAACAAATATGAGCCACCTAGAGAAGCCCTTTGTCTCAGCCCCCAGAGTTGTGAGATCTGCTGGAGGGTTTTAGCTCCTCCTAGAGCTAAAATCATACTACCTGTCTTCTTTATTTAAACTTTCATCGTATACTCATATGAGAGATTGGGGGGCTTAGCCAGGTCCCCAATACTATACACCCTTCCTCTTTCATGTGTCCCCCAAACAGAAGGTCCAGTGAGATTTCCCCTCACACCATCACTGTTTTTCTCTCTGAATGTCGCCTGTCTGAGAAAGAAGAGCCTTTAGGAAGAGAGTACATAGTGGCCCGTACTCTAGACATAGCCCTCTCTCTGTTATTCCCTAGCTCCAGTATGAGCAGCAGTGTGGGATAGACAGGGACAAGGGGTTTCCCCCTGGAGAAATAGAAAAGTTCCTCCAAACTGGGCGAAACATGCCTACACCTACGACAAGAGGCAGGGCTGGACGTGGAGGATTAGCGCTGCCACCTATACTTGCAAGCTGTGATGCTGCCTGCCGGCTCACAGATGCCCGGTGCATGCAGAAAGCAACATTCCAGTGAGTTTGGTGGGCAGAGCAGCAGGGGCATAACCGAGGAGGCGGGGGATACAGCTGCATGGCCTGCTGGGGGTTGTAGCCATGTATGTTTCATCATGTCTCAATTGACCAATCATAACTGTGTGGTCATAGGTAGTGAGGAGGGAACCTCACTGGTCTCAGGAATGAGGGCCAGGAGGAATCATCTAGAAGGTATGTTACAGAGTGGGCAATGTACCCAAGAACAACATTGCGTAGAAGCCAGTATCACTGAGGGTCTGTTGTAAGTGCAGAGCCAGAGAACGGAGAGGGCAGAGGGTCCTGGCATCATGGTACAGGGGTTGGCAAAGTATGGAGGCAAACACTGCAGGAGATGAGATGGTATAGCAGGCACCTGGGGCTCTTCCCTGCCCTGCTTTTTTCTTTGTTTTGTTGCAAAGCTCACTGCAGTTCACAAGGAGGAGAAATCTGCCCAAGTGACATTGGCCAAACATCTTTGCAGGACATAAGGAGCCATGAAAGTTTCACAGGAGACATACTGGAACCATCCCTCCATTGTCTCTAAGAGGGCAGCTGAACCCCAACTTAATCTACTGAAACAGTGCATTACCTAGACCCGGTCATGGCGTTTGCAGGTGGGGGACAGCTGTGGCAGTGCATCCTGGGCCCTGGCTGCCCTCTAGGGGAGGCTATGAGGTGCTTCAGACAGATGGTGCTTGATGTGCTCCAAGGGTGGCATCCACAGGGCCTGCAGTCCCAGGACATCTTGTTGGGGCTGATGGAGATGTTCAAGTGGGACTTTGGGCTGGGTTCCAGGAACCTTGGCAGGCTGAGTTTGGCCCTGTTCTGTGGCACAGTGCACTACTGTGCACCAGAAATATTCTGGGGCGAGGAATGCAAGGGCCCTGCAGTGGACATCAGCGGCCTGCAGTTGTCCTGCACACCATGTTCACAGAGGCCCTCCCATCTGGTGCAGATGCCATTCTAGAGCTGCAGGCGGATCCTGGCCAGAAACCTTCCCACTCACCTTTCCCAGGATGTGTGAAGCTTCCTTGACCAGATTCTCACACTGGGTCCCAGGCAGACGCCCGTGCTTGAAGCATTCCTCAGTCCTCTGCCTGAGCTGCTTCCAGAACAGCTGAACCCAATCATCATGGAAGCCATGCTTCTCATGGGATATGATGCTCAAGAAGTGAAGAAATCCCAGCGAATAAGAAAATTCAAG